TGTCATTTCTATTGTGACACCAAAGTCAGTGATGGTGGTCGGAGGTGTAGTGTTGAGAAATCTAGTTTAGTCATTCGGTAGGGACAATGAACATGTCCCATGTGTGCTACAGACTTCACACGTTAAAGATCCCTCGACAATAAGTTGGAAAAAAGCAGGCTAATACTGCCAACCTGGCAAAATGTCCCTCACATCACACTACATGGCATTACCTGCCCAAATTAGCTATAGCCTATCGGGTGCATATCATTCAGAACGTATAGCTACAATTTCATTTCATTTTCATAAAACGTTGCAGAAGGTCTGTCATCGGTAAGGGAGAGAACCCAGTCTTAAGCAATGAGGGTCAAAGGTTAAGAAAGGTCACGAGGGGTTAGAATATGATATTATGGGTATTGTTCAGGCTTAAATGATCGTCAGTGGCTGAGATTTCCAACATAATACAACTGATTTCTTGGATGTCTAAAGAGCTTTAATAATCTTAATTACTTTCATTTAAAGTGGCACCGTACAATTTCTGAAAGCACTTTAGTAACTTGAAGAGCATATCATGAAACGAATGTTTTCAGACATTGTTACTGTTGACTATGGGTCCTATGTTCTATTATTAAAAAAAAAAATTACTAAAACAGTTTGGACCTAATTTTTTGTCTAATTTTTGTGGCGTCGTACAATTTCTGGAATTACTTAGGTAAATTGAAGAACATATCATGAAACGAATGTTTTTAAAACGCTGTTGCCGATGGCCTACACTGATTCCTATGTTCTTTAGTTTAGACCGCTTCTCTGTCCAAAAACATATCTGACTCCTTTTACCAGTGCCTATGGCAAATTTGTAATCGTAAGATATTGGTGAAAGGGGACCCTTTGATTTCATCTCAAATCAATTTAACATACAGCCTTCTGATGGCTACTGGGCTCCGTGGGTTCGAGTCCCCTACGACAGAAACAAAAGTATTATAAAGGCTTTATTCGGGAAAACCCTTGACATATTAGAACAATTTCTGCGTTGTGATACAACTTTAAACGAGGTAAAATCATTTCAAAATAGCATCCTAAAATACTTTTAAAACAGAAAAATATTAGAAAAAAAGTAAAGAAAAGGAAATCAAGTGCTAGCCTCTTTAAACATAAAAGCCAAATTACTAAGAATATTGGTGCATCAATATAATATTGAATGGCTTTAGAGCAACATGAATAGAGGTTTTTAAACACGGAATGGAATTCAAACTAAATCATTTAATCATATAAAGTGCTGAGCGAATCAATGGAAATCAAACTCAGGGCAGACTTCAGGAGACCTTCTCGTTATAAAGTAAGATCGAATGTAGAGCGCGGGAAAACTCGGTCGTTAAGGAATAACCGCCATCTTTGTATAAGGCTATTTCCCGCTAAAAGGACGGAGGGATTTTTGGAATCAAAATTCAAAACGAAGCAACAGAAATCAAACTCAGGGCAGACCTCAGGAGATCTTCTTGTTGTGGAGTAGATCGTGTGGAGAGCGTGGGAAAACTCGGTCGTTGCCGACTAACCGCCATCGTTGTTCAAAGCGATTTCACTGTTTAAATAGAAACTTCAGCCAGGAGTGGAAAGCTCTGGAAAACTCGTTCGGCCTGGAATCGACACCATCTTTAAGTGTTGCGGGGAAAGTTTATACTTTCGAGTGCAGCCTTTAAACAAAATCATTACTTAACTTTTCAAAGAGATCGACAAGATAAGCTTACCAGGCTACTTCTGAGGTAACACGCAGAGATTTCAAACGTTAGAACAGAGTGACCTATTCGATACACAAAACCACTTAAACGATTCGTTATAGGATCTTGCTAACTGAAATTGTATTAATTGTGTAAACGGTCAAATACGGATATTACTGAAGATGACCGAGAGGTGTATTAAATGAAGGCGACCAGGACCTCATTTAGTTAATAATCGTTACAAAACCTTCTCCTTAGACACTATTCATCTCCAGTTTGAAAGGTTGTTTTTGTCCAGAACGTAGAATCGAATGGACGGGGACAAAGATTAAAAGAGAAGTATTGTAACCGTCATTTACTTCACCCTGATCTGTCGATATTCGATTGCTGTGCTGGAACAAAGTCCTCTTAAAGGAACACAATCACATAATGAAAATATTACACTATGCATATGTTCGATGTACTATGCTGGAATTGGGTAGCCTACTGTATCGAAGCATAAGAAACTGAATGCATTCGAGCGATCGGTCAATGTTCGATTGCCCTTGCAGTAACAATGAAATGCAGGAACAAAACAGCAGAGTTAAATTACTTATTTGGAAGACTTTCGTGTTTGATTGTTTGCGCTGGAACTAACCCTCGCCCAATTAGACTGCCCCCTCTCCCTTCTGGCTGGAACAGTCAGCCCTTAGGCAATATTGTGGGCCCTTGTTGGCCCCATAACTTAATGGTTCTACGAAAAGCCAAATTGAGTGCAAGGGCTGCTAACAAATTGGACCACAATGAAATTTTGGGGTTATAAAGGAGGCCAAGATACTTTAAAAATCAGTCAAACTATAGAAGAGCTATATAGACTAGAGAGATTGACAGTTTCTCGATACCCCGTCTCTCTATCGTATTGATCTGGACTATAATTACCCCAAAATACATCTTATTGGTTTTATTCATAATTACTTCAATAAAGGTCCCTTTCTTCTCTTAAAGCTCCTTCTAATTTCCATTAACCGCAGAGTCAAACGGTGACCATTGAGGTACCCGTAGCAGTCAGGGGTTAAATGGCGTTTTACGTCGTACTCGAATATTGCCTCACCCCCTTTTTTCTTTTTTTAAAGTCAAGAATGCTCCCCCCTTTCTTCTCTCAAAGTTCCTTCTAATTTCCATTAACAGCAGAGTCAAATTTTGGTATCATTAGCGGTCAGGGGTGAAATGGCCCTCCTTTCTTAGTGTTCCTTCCAGAAAAGTGGGGATGCTCTACCCTTCAGTTTCCTACCTCTAACACCCACTGGGCTTGACGTCTCAGAAACATGAATTTTTTAGCTAAGCCAATCAGTAATAGTGTTCATAGCTCAACGTCGAAATTTGAGCCTTCAAATCCATGTGTGTCCAGAATTATCTGCGATTGAATGTTAAAATGACAACTATTTGATTGTGATATATAGAAAAGACATATATAGAAATAGTGAGTAAAATTCCCAGTTTGAAGTATTTTTAAAGGAATTATGCGATTTTTGTACATTTCTAGTACTTCTAAAGACTATTTACATATTTTCAAGCGTGCGATCCAATCAAATCGCTAAAGTCACAAACAGAAAAAAAAACAGCCTAATGACGTCAAGGCATAAGACGCTGTTCTTAATAGCTTGACATTGTGAAGAAGCCATAAAACGAAATTAAACCCAACTCGTAGTTAATTAAAGAGATTCTGGGTCTCTAACAGAACAAATCAGGGGCTTTAAAGTCTCTTAAAAAAGAAAATTACACTGACAAATCATCAAAATGGCGTGACCTAAATTTAATTCATCACGTGACCTTGCAAATAGGAAATAATTTTCATAATCTCTGATGTTTTTGTGGAAAAAAAAAATCATAGAATTCCTGCACAAAGCCGAGACAATATTAAAAAGCTCGGTGTATTTGCCAATCAAATAAACCCTCAGTGCAATGTCAGCCTAATTCCTTTAATTGATTGGCTTTGATTCACATGACCACATGCGCCCCATTGCCAAGGGACGTCACTCTTACTGTTGCTTTTGATTTCGTTTTGATATTGTTGCTTTTGATCTCAAAGAATATTGTTATAAATAGTAGGCTATTATAAAGCAAAAGGCGTATCTTTTATTTTAGTTTTTGTTGAAATATAATAAGATTTATTCTGAGAAATTTGATTGAAAATCAGATCTGGATGTTTCGTTCAATATTTTTTCGACTCAACTTGTCAGCTATGATATGAAGTAATGAATCTTACATCTTCCGTTCAATGACAACTTCCTTACTATTTGCGAGTAATTCTATGATATCCTTTGTTTAACATTGACTTCAATCAGACTCCTAGCTAGAGGGGTGCCAGAAAATTTTGTGAACCCCATCCCCCCCCCTCCCCCTGAAAAATTTAGACGACTTACATGACTTGTTAGGTCGCTATAGTTGAGCCCCCCTACAAAAAAGCTGGTCCTTGCGGTGGCTCAACTACCACGGGGCCCCCACCTCAAGAAAAAGTCATCCATTATCCAACACTCATCGAGTTGAGCTTCAGAGTCCTTGGCCAAACCTTTGGGCATTGAAAATCTAATGTGGGTTCAATTTCAAAGCTTAAAAGAAAAGAGACCACTGTTAAATTGTAAAGATGTCAGTGTACGTTTTATGTACTTTACAAACCTCTTGAAATAAAGAAAGAAATAAAAAGAGAAAGTGACATGCGCACTTGAAGTCTTTATGTGTTTATCGGGGCTCTTATTTATGGCGTAAAATATGATACACTTTGTAAAGTTATAAATGCATAAAAGGGGAATGTAAATTCAGATATTGGCTGGTTTTAAAGGGAACTGTTCGTTTTCTGAAAGGCAATTTGACTATATGTTCGTCTACAAATTATAAATAACCAAGTAAATAATGCTTAGATCCCGGAACAGCTTTATTCTGAAGTTATCATAATATGTCCTAGCTACACAGATTTGTCGGTGAAATGCCCTATCGCTCCAAGACTCAACCATGTTAGTCTCTGTTGAGTATATACGAGGATAGTTTTCAGTAAAAACTCAAGACTATTTATGACCAAAGGGACATTATTAGTTGTTAATTTGTTGAAACTACAGACCACAAAATATCTAATAGTATTTTCAACAAGTAGTTCAAGGGAAAGAACTACATTTAAGGCTACAGAACACAAACAATATCTTCGCATTTGATAAAAAAAAAGGTTACAGAAAATACAACTAGAGAAATCGAACGCACCTATTTAAATTGCACGTGCACTGAGTCTGCGCAGTAGACAGGAAGTACTTTCAGTGGTAAACAAGTATAGTGTAGAAAGGTTTGACATCATCATGTTGGTTGTATTCAGAATTTATATTCTTTCTCTTCTTATTTCATTGGTAAGATCGTTTTTCTCAAATCTCGAGACCTAAGCTAAGACATGTAAATATGTTTCTTGCTTTAAAGTATGGTGGCCAATAAAAGTACTTGTGCATCTACTCTCCAACAACAGATAGCTCACGATTCAATTTTGTCTCGCATGTAAAAAAGATCCAAAATGAAATTTTCAAATTATGTCATTGGACTTGGAATATCTTTGAATCCATAGAAAAATATAATTTTTGACAATTTTACATTTTGAAATAAACGAGGATGTTTTTTTCTTTTTTTTTTGTGTATTTCAGAAACAAGTTGCTTGTTTAGATGACTTAGATGGATATATAATAGAAGGTGAGTGTATTAACTATGTGCACTCCCTGAAAGTGTAACCACTATGCCATTGTCGGCATTATGACACTAATTTTAGCAAATCTGTGCATCTCTATTAGATATGCTTAATGTCTACATGTATAGCAAATCAAATTTACGGGAGGATATCCTCATATTATACCAATAACGCTGATGCACCTGCATCCTGACCTCTGTTCTTATTTCAGCAAGTTCTGACTGCAGCAGCCTGAGTGATGATACTCCAACACTAAAGATCTTGTCAGACTTTAGTGTTATGGCTAAAGCCCGATGTGTCGATGGAGATCAAGAATTTGAGACAACGGACGGTGTGAACTATTTGCTTCCAGCCACATTCACTTCTGGCAACGATAGATGTCAGCTCATAGTACGTTTAATAATGCTAAATATATTTACAAAAAATGTAACACCCCTAATTTTGTCAATGGATTATTCTTAAGATGAGCCCATTACTGCTAATGTGTGGAAGATTTTATTTTGCATTTAGGGATGCCGAGTTGCAGACAAACAACCAAAATAAGATCAGGCACGAAAATTATGACCGCACATACATTGCAGTTGATGCTAGAAATGATCTGATCTAAAATGCACGTGTGTTGATCCAGTTCTTTCAAATCTCTTTTCTTTTACAGAGACGCAAGCAGATGTTCTATGTAGAGGTTGTTGTACTGTTTGGGTCGAAAGAAGCTAGAATATTGGGCAACTCGAAGACGTACACTTTGGTTTGCTCTTTCGACGATAAGGGGAAGTCCCTTTCTGATCGTATGTCCATTATTGAAGGGTAAGTATATATATCAAATACTGTAGTAATATAGCCTACAAGACTCTGAAGCTTACATAGCAGAATAAGACGTAAAATTCCACGTTATTTGATTTGTTACAGGACCTTTGTACCAGGAGAGATGGTAAAAGGTTATGTATCAAGTATAGATTCGTCTCATATCACTCTCAAACTTCAAGATGTCATGGATAACGACATTGGGACGGATATATCTGTAGATAACTATGTCTCGCTTCTCGCCACCTCTGATGGTGCCAGTAAGTATTTGTGGATTCAAAGAGTCCACATAGCTATTACGGACTTACGTCGTATACCTTGGCTACTAGCCATCTTTCTCGTATCACGGAATGCAGCGTTTTGATTGAATTGTACGCCAGCATATACAGACAAGCATAGCTCTGTAAATTAGTCTAACGTCCAGACTATGTCGAAGATGTATCTGTGCATAGACGAAAAGGGGCTGGACGATAGAGGCAACTGTAAGTTATACTAATTTTGACACTGAAATTCTGTATATATTCTCCAGGGCGATACCTTTCTTGCTTTGTCGAGATTTGTCACATTAGGTATCCGTCACCTTTTTGAGCAGTTATCGCCCTTGGATAATATGTATCTACTTTCTCGTTGTAGACAGCGAGGTTGGACTGAAGCCAATTAGCTGTGATGTTATCAGTGACAAGGCAAATAACAGATATAACATTCTTAGATCTGGGTAAGTATTTCCTGCATACACGCACGTGCACTTCTTGTCTCATTAAACTTGTGGATTCTTCTTAGGAACAGTCCACTTTATGCATAGGTAGTTTCAGCTACGAACAACAGTCTTTTGTCAATTATTTGAATACGCACGTGCATTTTGTCTGTTGACCTAATAACTAAAACTCTCTATATCTGCACGATGCAACAGGATCTTTCACTGTGTCATCCAAAACTTCTCCATTTTTCGCAAATTCTTGGAGAGGAATCCCCACTCTCTCTCTTAATAGAATTCATTTTCAAAGAGTTTCAAAGGCATTTCAATGTTGGACACTGCCCCATTAACTTCAATAAATGCGTCTTGTATTTCAGATGCGGCCTCGGTCAGTTTTTTAAGAAAGGAGCAGGGTTTACCACCAAGGGAAAGACAGCTCGCAGTCCTTATTTTAAACTAATAATGTTGGACAATGACGATACTGTACAATTTGACTGCCAATTTGCTTTGTGTAGTGGAAACTGTGATGGAGTAAGTCGGTGTTTTCTTGTAAAAGTCTTTCTGGACTTTGTGGGTGTACCATTCTAATTTTCAAACAGTTTTATTGATACGCCTTGGTATCAGGGATACTTTGAAGGCTTCAATTCACGTTACTGCGATGCAATCCCCGCCAGTTTCCTTAAAGCTGCATAATTATGATGCAACGCTAGCAGCACTTTAACGGTAGATCGTTTGCACTATGCCCCTTCTGGCTTTTGTGAAATTTCCATTGCTTCTACGCTGCTTGGTATTTTCAGCCTTCGTTAGTCCAATAAGGTGAAGTAGGACGTAAAACTTTATTTTTACATATTTTTCAGACTTCGTGTGAGGATGAGAATTAATAACACCAGATTCTTTTTGAATTCTTTTATAAAAAAAAAACTCTTACAACGCAACTTGGTTATTTTTTATTGTACACCATCGTCCGGTATGTTGTAAATTGAGTGCTACGGGTTAGAATTCTTCATGCAAATAGGGGTTCAAGACCATCAGTTTGTGTCCTATCAAAAGCCAAAATCGAGTCACAAAATATCGGTAATATTGCCCATTGGTGATCGGGTTGGGGAGGAAGCTATGAAAACCTCCAAAAATTGAGAGATTTAAACCCATATCACATCCTATCAGTAAATTTCAGACGTGGAAATCAGGGATTTCGGATTAACAACTGTATTGCGTCTGGATAATCAGACCGAGCTTTTCGCGCGTCTTGATGATCGAGTTAACAAAAATATACAATATGGCTGCTCCCGCAAAGAGTACACCGAAAGATGCACAAGTTATGGCTGCTATTTTGAAGGATATGGGTGTAGTCGAATACGAACCACGTATAATTAATCAAATGTTGGAGTTCTCTTATCGTAAGTAAAAATTTTCTGGGAAATTTCGTCTAAAATGGAGTAATTTTGCAATCCAAATTTGTTTCTTTTGAAAAGAATGATCAAGGGACGCAACTCTTTCATATGATTGAAAATATCAGACCACAGCTATTGACGCCAATCAGTAGTGCTGATGCATCTTTCTTACATGCAGATAAATGCTGTATCTTTTACCTCTAATATGATGTATGTACTTATTGGTATAATTTGGAAAACTATTTTAGCAGTGCCATTTATGTAATATGACAAATTTGGTACTGTAATAGGGTGTATAGAGACATGTTTGAATGAATGCACGGACCTAGATCTATTCCAGAGCTTTTTCTAGAATTCTAAAATTAATCTTGTTATCTTGCAGGTTATGTGACAGATATATTAGATGATGCTAAAATATATTCATCTCATGCCAATAAAAAGACTATTGATGTAGATGATGTCAAGCTAGCTGTTCAGTGTAAAATGGATCATTCTTTTACAGCTCCACCACCTAGAGACGTAAGTAGACCTTGGTATAGCCAAGCTAGAAAAGATATTTTTGCTCATCTGCGTACCATCAAAAGAGAAACACAATTTGTCTATTTTCTTTCAAGGATGTAAATTTAGAGGGTTTGACAAATCCTTCAAATCTATAAAAAATAGGATAGTCTTTGATATATAAAGGGACAGGTAGGCCACTTTTTGACCAATCATACTTTTCCACATTGATTGAAATTGAGTGTGTGAGGTGTTCAATGCAAATGTGTTTTTTTTTCTCAGTTATTAATGGATATCTCTCGTCATAAAAACAACCAGCAGTTACCATTGATTAAACCTTATACAGGCCCTAGATTACCACCAGATAGGTATTGTCTATCAGCTCCAAATTACAAACTTAAAACTGCTAAAAAGGTAAGTCTTAATTATGCTGTGGGACTTTCTTAATCTTTATTTTGTCTTTCAACCCAGGATTTTAGATGGCTCATGATGTTAGATGTTACCCAAAGGTATGTTTCCCCTTGTCACTGATGCAGGTCAGAGCAATTAGTTCTTGTATGGAATGATAAACCAAGGCCTCGTGTAATGTGCACACATGTTGATTAAGAACCTTTAACAATTGGAATCAAGGTGGGCTTATGTCGCTGTCTGAGCCAAATTTCCCTCATTGCACACTGCATTGGCCCAATCAAGTGCAGAAAAGTAAGAGTTTAAAACTGGAATTCTTTTCCTTTCTTTTTCAGCCGAGAATTCATTTTGATTTACCAATGAAACAATTGAATCAGTTTGTAACTTCAGGAGCCTCTAGGATTAACTTGAGTAGTTGTAAGTGTTATATTTTTATTATGTAATATCACTTTTAGATACCGTTAATTATAATTTTTGAATCGCTACTTTTGGAAAAGTTTCACCATGACAAAAGCCAATTTTGGCAAAACTTTTGATATATATACAAAGCTGTTTCATTGTAGAAGAGCCAGATGCCAGATTTAAATTCTAAAAAGTGAATTGGAAAGTTGAAATAGAGCTCTATAGGCTGTAAGAACCATTATCGCTTTAGGTATATGGAACTTGTGTTACGATTTTTTGGCTATGAATTTTTTTCAGTAAAATCAAGTAGTGGTGGAACTCCAACTTTAACAGTAGTAACAAAAGCTGTCAGTCAACCTACTGTTACTATAATTAGCAAACCAGCTTCAACCACGCCCAAACCTTCCATTAGAATCAACACAGGTATGCACAAAGGGAAAATACTTTCAGATTACTTATCCGGGAAACACACCTAAGAGGCAATCAGCCGTTCGTATGAGACCGTAAACTAAGATCCTGTGTGCTACAGACTCTTATCTTTAAGATCCCTTGGCAGATGGAAATCGATAAAGAGTAGGCTAATGCCACTGTACTGGTACTACTGTCCTGGCACAATTTACTTCATATCACACTGCTTTGTGTTGGCCATCTTCATTAATGCATTAAGGTGCAGAAAAGTAGGACATAAAACTACATTTCATTTGCTTTTAAATGCTGTAGAACCTAAGGTTTTCAACTTATTTCAATAATGGTCAAGTATGTGATAAAGTTAGTAATTAGAATGCATGGTCTTTTAGCCAAGGACATATTTGTCCTATACCATGCAGATCATATGGTATCTAATTAATTATTTTATTTCTTTCAGGTTCAAGTATATCAAAAGTAGTCCAGCCCTCATCGAGTATCCTTCCACCAAAAACCATCATAACTTCTTCGTCATCAGCTTCTTTACTTCCCACAAATATAGGACCTCCTTCAGCTCAAATTACAGCCAATCCTTTTAATCCTTTAAAAAGAAAACTGGAAGATGATGACTACGATAAAATGTAGCTAAAGTGAATTCTTCAATATGTGATGTCTGGACAAAAGTGACTATAATGAGATGTAGATATGTTGATATGTATCAGTAAAAGATGTGGATAAAAATGTCAACAATGATAGTACATGTGTATCAGTGAAAAAGTTGTGGATAATGTTGACTACAATGAAATGTAGATATTATGTACATATGTTGTGTCTGTGAAAGTTCTGGATAATGATGACTAAAATGAAATGTAGATACGTTCATATGTATCTGAAAGTTCTAGATAATGATGACTACACCGTAATGAAATGTAGATATGTAACATTAGTATCAGTGAAAGAGATCTGGACAATGGTGACTACAATGAAATGTAGATATTCATCTTTATTAACAGTGAATGTCTAATAGAGATCAAATTTGATTTAATAAAATCAGATTGGTTTCCTTGATTCAATCAAATGTGGTACTTGTTGCCTTGATTCAATCAAGTGTGGGACTTGTTGCCTTGATTCAATCAAGTGTGGGACTTGTTGCCCTGATTCAATCAAGTGTAGGTCTTGTTGCCTTGGTTTAATCAAATAGGTCTTGTGTCATTCTGTTTTGTATATAATGGTGTATTATTAATTTGCAGAAAGTAAAGAAATACATCAGGACTTGAGTTTTCTTGTACACATGTTATCACACTTTTTAATCACACCTGGACTCTATTATCACATCAAACTTTGTAATCACACCAGGACTTTGTTATTGCACTGGGACATTGTTATTGCACTGGGACATTGTTAGCGCACCGGGACATTGTAATCAGGCTTTGTAATTACATTGAGACTTTGTTATCACACAGGGACATTAAAATCACACTCGATATCACGCATTGTAATCACACTTTAAAATCACACTGGGGTTTTGCAATCGCACTTTGAAGGCACACATTAAGCTACCATGAAATTTCCAGACTCATAAAAGCTACCATGAAATTTCAATATACATTACAGCTAACATGAAATTTTGGCTGTTAATGCTACCATGAAATTTTGGGACATATTAAAGCTACCATGAAATTTTGGAACACATTAAAGCTACAATGAAACTGCGGGACACATTAAAGCTACGATGCAATTTCGAGACATATAAAAGCTACCATGAAATTTCAGGACATATTAAAGCTACCATGAAGTTTTGGGAACACATTAAAGCTACCATGAAATTTCAAGACACATTAAAGCTACCATGAAATTTCGGGACACATTAAAGCTACCATGAAATTTCAGGGCATATTAAAGCTACATTAAAGCTACCATGAAATTTCGGGACATATTAAAGCTACCGTGAAATTTGGGACACATTAAAGCTACCGTGAAATTTCGGGACATATTAAAGCTACCGTTAAATTTATCAAAGCTACCATGAAATTTCGGGAGATATTAAAGCTACCATGAAATTTCGGGACATATTAAAGCTATCATGAAATTTGGGACACATTAAAGCTATCATGAAATTTGGGATACATTAAAGCTATCATGAAATTTCGGGACACATTAAAGCTGCCATGAAATTTCGGTAAAGCTACCATGAAATTTTCGGGACATGTTAAAGCTACATTAAAGCTACCATGAAATTTCGGGACATATTAAAGCTACCATAAAATTTGGGACACATTGAAGCTACCGTTAAATTTATCAAAGCTACCATGACATTTCGGGAGATATTAAAGCTACCATGAAATTTCGGGACATATTAAAGCTATCATGAAATTTGGGACACATTAAAGCTATCATGAAATTTGGGACACATTAAAGCTATCATGAAATTTCGGGACACATTAAAGCTGCCATGAAATTTCGGTAAAGCTACCATGAAATTTTCGGGACATGTTAAAGCTACCATGAAATTTTCGTACACATTAAAGCTACCATGAAATTTCGGGACATGTTAAAGCTACCATGAAATTTTCGGGACACATTAAAGCTACCATGAAATTTCGGGACATATTAAAGCTACCATGAAATTTCGGGACATATTAAAGCTACCATGAAATTTCGGGACATATTAAAGCTACCATGAAATTTTGGGACATATTAAAGCTACCATGAAATTTTGGGACATATTAAAGCTACCATGAAATTTCGGGACACATTAAAGCTACCATGAAATTTTGGAATACATTAAAGCTACCATGAAATTTCGGGACATATTAAAGCTACCATGAATTTTCAGGACATATTAAAGCTACCATGAAATTTATTAAAGCTACCATGAAATTTCGGGACATATTAAAGATACCATGAAATTTCGGGACATATTAAAGCTACCATGAAATTTTGGGACATATTAAAGCTACCATGAAATTTCGAGACATATAAAAGCTACCATGAAATTTCAGGACATATTAAAGCTACCATGAAGTTTTGGGAACACATTAAAGCTACCATGAAATTTCAAGACACATTAAAGCTACCATGAAATTTCGGGACACATTAAAGCTACCATGAAATTTCAGGGCATATTAAAGCTACATTAAAGCTACCATGAAATTTCGGGACACATTAAAGCTACCATGAAATTTCAGGACATATTAAAGCTACATTAAAGCTAACATGAAATTTCAGGACTTATTAAAGCTACCATGAAATTTCAAGACACATTAAACCTACCATGCAATTTCAGGACATATTAAAGCTACCATGAAATTTCTGGACATATTAAAGCTACCATGAAATTTCGGGACTTATTAAAACTACCCTGAAATTTTGGGACATATTAAAGCTACCATGAAATTTCGGGACACATTAAAGCTACCGTGAAATTTTGGAATATATTAAAGCTACCATGAAATTTCGGGACATATTAAAGCTACCATGAATTTTCAGGACATATTAAAGCTACCATGAAATGTCGAGACATATTAAAGCTACCATGAAATTTATTAAAGCTACCATGAAATTGCGGGACATATTAAAGATACCATGAAATTTCGGGACATATTAAAGCTACCATGAAATTTATTAAAGCTACCATGAAATTTTGGGACATATTAAAGCTACCATGAAATTTCGGGACATATTAAAGCTACCATGAAATTTGGAACACATTAAAGCTACCGTGAAATTTCGGGACATATTAAAGCTACCGTTAAATTTATCAAAGCTACCATGAAATTTCGGGAGATATTAAAGCTACCATGAAATTTCGGGACATATTAAAGCTATCATGAAATTTGGGACACATTAAAGCTATCATGAAATTTGGGACACATTTAAGCTACCATGAAATTTCGGGACACATTAAAGCTGCCATGAAATTTCGGTAAAGCTACCATGAAATTTCGGGACACATTAAAGCTACCATGAAATTTTGGGACATATTAAAGCTACCATGAAATTTCGGGACACATTAAAGCTACCATATAATTTCGGAACATATTAAAGCTACCATGAAATTTTCAGGACATAATGGTAGGACATATTAAAGCTACCATGAAGTTTTGGGAACACATTAAAGCTACCATGAAATTTTGGGACACATTAAAGCTACCATGAAATTTCGGGACACATTAAAGCTACCATGAAATTTTGGGACACATTAAAGCTACCATGAAATTTCGGGACACATT